GTTGAAACAAGGGATCATACGCAAGAGCCACTCCCCCTTCTCTTCGCCGGTTCTGTTGGTGGCGAAACAGGATGGGACTTGGAGGGAGGTTCTGTGTTGACTACAGAGAGCTCAATGGTCGGACAGTCAAGGATAAGTTCCCTATTCCCGTTGTGGACGAACTGCTGGACGAGCTGCATGGTGCTCAGTACTTCTCTAAGTTGGATCTCAGGTCCGGGTATTTCCAGGTGCGCATGGCTCCCGATGATGTGAAGAAAACTGCCTTTCGAACCCACCACGGCCACTTTGAATTTTTAGTCATGCCATTCGGTCTCACCAACGCCCCATCCACATTCCAGTCATTGATGAACGAGGTATTTCAGCCCCATCTGCGCAAATTTATTTTAGTATTCTTTGACGACATCCTCGTTTATAGCAAATCATGGGTAGCGCATGTGCACCATCTGCGGACCGTCTTCGAGCTCCTGCACCAACACAAACTCTTTCTAAAATGGTCCAAGTGCTCCTTCGGGGAGCAGCAGGTTCTTTATCTAGGCCACGTCATCCACGGGCAAGGTGTGACGGTTGACAGYTCCAAAATTCAAGCTATCAAGGAATGGCCCAAGCCTCAATCCGCCGAGGCCTTACGCGGGTTCCTAGGATTAACGGGTTACTATCGCAAATTTGTACAGAATTATGGACTGTTGGCTGCCTCGTTAACCAACCTGTTAAAGAAAAATTCCTTCCGGTGGGACGACGCAGCCGATACAGCTTTTCTGACACTGAGAAATGCCCTGTCTTCCACCCCAGTCCTGCAATTACCAAATTTCGCTCTCAAATTTACAGTCGAGTGTGATGCCTCGGGAATGGGTATTGGGGCCGTGTTGCAACAACAAGGGCACCCGATTGCCTTCTTCAGCCGCAGACTGGTCGACCGACATCTGAAACTTCCAGCCTATGAGCGCGAACTAATCGGCCTAGCTCGAGCCATCCAGCACTGGAGACCGTACTTGTGGGAGCGGACGTTTGTCGTCAAAACTGATCATTACAGCCTAAAATACTTGTTGGAGCACGTCTCACCACTTCCCCTCAGCAGCATTGGGTTAGCAAACTGCTCGGGTTCGATTTCCGAGTGGAATACAAGGCGGGAACCTCAAATCGCGCAGTTGATGCCTTGTCTAGGCGCGATGAAGACGCGATGGCTCTGTGTGAAATTTCCCAACCCCGAATCTCTCTATTAGACGACATCAAGAAGGCAACGCCACAGTCTCCGGAATGGTCGCTCCTGGTTCAGAAGATCCAGTCCAGCGCTACCGACTCCAATTGGTCACTTCAGGATGGGTTGGAACTGTATAAAGGCCGGATACATCTTCCGCCAAACTCCCCGTTGATTCCCACCATCCTCGCCAGCATCCATAACTCCACCCATGTGGGCGTTCAGAAAACGCTGCACCGCGTCCGGGTTGATTTCCATTGGTGAGGTATGAAGACTTCTATTCGGGATTTTGTCCAACATTGCTCCACGTGCCAACAGCATAAATGGGAAAACCTGCACCCAGTAGGCCTCCTTCAGCCCCTTTCGATCCCGACACAGATCTGGGCCGACGTCTCCATGGACTTTATCGAGGGGCTACCCAAGGTAGGCGGCAAATCAGTCCTCTTCGTGGTAGTAGATCGTTTCTCTAAATATGCCCACTTCATTCCTCTATCACATCCGTACAGTGCCACTTCAGTTGCCCTCGCCTTCTTTACGCATGTTTTCCGCTTACATGGGTTACCAGAATCCATCGTCTGCGATAGGAACCCGATTTTCACTAGTGCCTTCTAGAAGGAGTTATTTCGGCTACACGGCACCACCCTGGCCTTCTCCTCAGCATATCATCCACAGACCGACGGTCAGACGGAGGTGGTAAACCGCACGATCGAGATGTACCTCCATTGCTTCGTAGGGGATCAACCGCGACGATGGGTGGACTGGCTTCCTTGGGCCGAGTACTGTTACAACACGGCCTACCATTCTTCCCTCAGCATGACCCCTTTTCGCGTCGTTTATGGCCGGGACCCTCCTCGCTTGCTGACCTATGAGCCCGGTTCTACTCGTTTGGAGGAAATTGATCACTCCTTACAAGAACGCGACGCCCTCCTAGCCGACGTACACCTTCGCTTACAGCAAGCCCAGCTCTGCATGAAGCTCAACTATGACAAGCACCACCGGGAATTGTCGTTCGAACCAGGACAATTTGTTTGGTTAAAACTCCAGCCCTATCGGCAACGCTCCTTGTGCCATAGGGCCGCCCTGAAACTGGCCCCCAAGTTCTATGGGCCCTTCAAGGTTCTGCAGCGGATTGGCAGTGTGGCCTACCAGCTGGAATTGCCAGAGAACAGTCAGATTCATGATGTTTTCCACATCTCCTTGCTGAAACCATTTACGGGTGTTCCTCCGGACCAAGTCCCCTCCCTGCCACCCTTGAAAGAAGCCAAACTTGTTCCCCAGCCTAGGGCTCTCATCCGCTCTCGTATCAATCGAGGTATTCTTGAAGTTTTGGTGGAATGGGATAGCTTACCATCAGCCGAAGCCACCTAGATTCCCTTGGCAGAGTTCCAAGCCACATATCCGGAGTTCGAGCTTGAGGACAAGCTCGTAGTCTAGGAGGGGAGTAATGTTATGGATGCATTCCTCGGGAAGAAGTATCATCACCGCCGACAGCAGCAGAGACCTGACCACCGCCAGCAGCAACAGTGATTCAATGTTCTCATCCTACCCAGTTCGGCAACAGCAGACTTATCCAGATTAGATTAGACCATCTTACTTGTTCTTATCTTATTGTTCCTATCTTATCTTATTAGTTTATTAGATTATCTTATCTTATCAGATTAGGATTAACTTATCTTATCCTTATCAAGATAGAGCTAGAAATCTCCCTATTCAGCAAGGAGACTCCCTAGGATTAGGACTCTTGCAATCTCCTATTTAAGGAGACACCATTATTGAATGAGAATATCGAATATTCAGTCAAGAAGAGAGTGAGGAGAGTTGGTGATCTCTTGGACAAATCACCATTAGGGCGGCCAAGATAGGTTCATCAAGAGCATGGAGGAACAAGGGAAAACAGGAGGTTTTCCCCGTGGACCGACCCGTGACAAGATCCTATTCGCGGGGCCCTCAACAGGTTGACTGAGCAACAAGTAACAATTGATCARTGCTACGAGATGAGGGTGTAGCAGCTGGTTGGGAGTCCAAAATTCAAAAGACCTTTGCATGATCAACAAATGGAAGTCTATTATACTGTTGGATAAATTAGAACAATCCAGTATCTCTACTACTCCTGAGGATGGTCTCTAGGGGAAAGAATGTAAAGATGGAAGATTCTCGATGAAGTCTTTTATAGGGCCTTGGTTAGAGATAATTGGGATTCAGATCATATAAAAGGTGTGTGTGGAAATCCAGTGCCTCCAAGAGTAGAAGCATTTGCTTGGTTGGTCACTCTCGACAGTATTTTAACCACTGATCACTTGAAAAACAGAGGATTTAGCTTGACAAGTTACTGCCATTTGTGCAACATGGATGAGGAGACAGTTTTTCATCTGCTCTCCTGCAAAGTGACAAATTTCATATGGAAGTTCTACTCTTCCCTTTTTGGAATAAGTGTCTTTCAGCCATCATCTCCAGCAGAAATTTTTTCTATGTTGCTAAGACTAAAGAGGAAGCAAGCAAGCCAGAATCATGTGGAGCTACATCCCATTTGCATCCTGTTGGTCACTATGGAAGAAGACGAACAGAAGACTATTTGAGAATTAATCGAAGATTATGAAAATTAATTGTAGCAGTTGTGGGAAAACTGGTAACAGATTGGGTTTTAGTCCTTCCAAATTTTGACCAAGTAATGTAGAATCTGATTTTCTAGAAAATTTATGGAGTATTCTTGAATTACAACCGTGTAATGTAGAATCATTTTCAGTTTGACTAGTTGTAATTGATGTATTGACGTGTCATCTTGACAACCAATTGGTCTGTAATGTTTCCTTTTCTATTTTAAAGAAAGTTTATTTTCTTTATTAACCAAAAAAAGAAGTATGTTCAGAAAAATTTTATGCAGCTAACTATAAAGTATGCTTTGCAACCACATTTCTTACATTACAAATTTGTGCCAAGCAAAAGATAAGTTGCAAGCAATGTTCCATCAGAAAAATGGAAGCATAGCACATATTCAAGTATAAAGGAAAAGTAATGAAATCAATCATTTTAAAGTGATAGGCATTTTCAGCCAGCTATTTCTCTTGTTTTGAGGACTATAAAGCCCTTAGTAATGGTGTTAAGGATGGTTGACTCTAATAAACCTCTCATGGGATTCATTTATAATGCAATGGATAAGGCAAAACAAGAAGTTGCTAAAAGTTTGAGCAATGAAGTAGCAAATATGAACCTATTTGGGAGATAAATGATAGAAGGTGGGATAATTAAATGTACTGCATTTGCATGCTGCAACTTATTTTCTTAATCCACATTTCCAATATGAGTCAGATCTTTTAAACCATCCAAACACCAAACTCGGCTTGCTAAGCTGCATATAGAAATTGATTCCAAAACCAAAGGAAAGGGAAAGGTTGATCTCAAATAAATGCATTTTGGAAAGTATCTTGGAATTATTGGAAGGAAATGGCAATTTCTTTAAGAAAGAAAAGGGACCCTGGCATGTTATAATTCTTGGAGTCCCAAGAGCCATTATATTTGTTTTTGTAAATTACATTTACCAACTTGAATTAATTTGTATTTACTTTTTCTACAGCTAATTGGTGGTTAGCATATGTTGATGAAACTCCAAAATTGACTAGATTTGTTGTGAGACTGTTGAGTCTCACATGTAGTTCATCCAATTGTGAGTAAAATTGGAGCTCTTTTAACCAGGTAATTAATTTAAGCATTTAAAAATTTTAAAGATCGATACTATATTAATGATTTATAAATTATAACTTAAGATTTTGTAAAATTCCAAGTTACCATCATTAAAAACTAAGCTTACCTAACACTTGTTTTTCCCTTCTCCTGTAGGCAACAGGATACATCTTCAGGAGCAAAAAGTGAAGTAGATGACAGATGCTAGGAAAATGATTATATGGGCACCTACATATTGGACAATGGGACTCCTGCAAATTGTTCATGGCTCTATGAACGCACCAGAAACAAGCAATGTGGCCACATGCTGTGACAAGATGAATATAAAATTAGTAAAGTAATAACACCATTTCAAGTTGAAAACTTTGAAATACCTTCTTACCAAGTACAATTGGCTTGTATAAAAGATCCCTGTCAATATCAAACAGAAATTGCCATTAGACAGGTTGAGCATTAACCAAAAGAAAATCTCAACAACTACATGGGAATACAAATGTCAGCAATGAAGAAAAAAAATGTAGGTAACCACTTATTTATTCTTTTCTTTTTTGAAAAGAAGAAAGAAAATAGATATTTACATGGGTTTTTTTATAAAAATGATAAATAAGTAACACGATAAACAAAGGGTTCCACTTATTAGAATTTGAATATAAGTACAAGGATCCATGAAGACAACTCCTCAAACTAACAACATAACGTGTAAACATGAATTCTTTTTTTACTTTATCTAAATCGTAAGACCAAAAACTACCTTACATGCAAATGAACATGGAAAATCTACAATACAGAGACCACAAAGAAACCCCAGGCTAAACCTAGTAAATGTCTCATACACCCAAAAGAACTGAAGAAAAAAAGCCAAGCCCTAGTACATCTTTTTTATTAGTGTTGGTTATCATATTTGAACAAATTATCATATAACAAAATGCACATTAAATAATTAAGTTTTTATTATTTTGGGTAAATCCCGTTTGGAGTATCAAATAGATCATCCTCTTAATTACATCGCTGCAATAAGAAAACCTTTTGATTCTGAATTGGGGAAATAAATGAACAAAAGAAACCAACATATCCAAAACTCCAAATTTTACAGAAATGAGAAATACAACCAAGAAACTTTACAGCATCACGTTTCTTTTACAGATAGGATAATACAACTACTTCTTGGATTACAAGTTCCATCATTCATTTCTTCTTTGCACAGTAAACAATAGTCAACTGGATTAATTAATCTGATCATAGACAACATCACTCTTCCAGATCTTGAATTAGGGGAGACATAGTCAATCCTTTTAAACAATCGCTGTAGACAATTTGTATCCCTTCATCAGTCATCGTATCTATATTTAAAAGGAGCAATAGTCAGCCAATTTAAAGAACAATGCTGTAGTTGCCTTAATCCCTATATTTTTCAAAGTATCTTTAGTAGGGGGACCATTATCAGCAAGGTTAATGAACTCAACTGTAGATGGTAGATAGTTACCTTAATCCCTATAATTACCTCTTTTGCAAACAAATTTTTTATCAAGACTAAACTAGAGAGAGGAGACAATAATAAGAAAATTTTAATATGAGAGAAGTCACATCAAAAGAAGATATTTGCATAAAATCTTCCACCTATAAATAGGTATGTAGAATATAAGTTGTTTATTTTCAGGAGAAACCTTCATGACTAGAGATTTGGTATTTGGAAGGGTTGCTCAGCCTCCTCCATTGAACATAAATTCTGAGGATAGTAGAGCTTGGATGTGGGAAAAGTCTGGCTCCATCTCAGTCAATTCTATGATCAACAATTTTACTTCCTCTGTTTTCTCCTACAAAACTGTTTGGGCCCACAAAGTTCCATCTAAAGTAGCTCTTTTCTACTTTGGATAGCTGCTCTTCACAAATGTCTAACTAAAGATAATCATACCCTTTCCTTCCCTCCACTAGCTGATCTTTCTGCAATTTTGACATGGAGACAGCTGATTGAGGGGTTGGACAGCTAGCAGTCTAATGAAATGGAGACAGCTGATCTTTCCTCAGCAGCCTGCAGGTGAACTGGGTGTTCCTGATATTTACCTTTTAAGTTTAGCCAGCTAGCACATTGATGGGTTGGACAGAAAAGGCAAGATAATTTGGCAATTGATCCCAGATGCTGTCTTTTGGCCTATCCAGATGGAAAGAAACCACAGAATGTTCAAAAGAACTCACCGGTGGTAGCAGGAGTCTCCATTTGAGATGGAAAGTGAGAATAGACCACCAGTTGAGCCTGGTGGGAGAAACTCAAGTGACCTTTGTGGAGGGGAGGCAGATTTCGGACGGGGTGTTAGTGGCTAGTGAATGTACGATTCAAGGTTGAGGAGTGGGAGACCAGGATTGGTGTGTAAGCTTGATGCTGAAAAAGCATATGTTCATGTGGAGTGGGACTTTCTAGAGGAAATCCAAAGATTGATAGGTTTTGGGGAAAAGTGGAGGAGCTGGATGTTTTTGTGCATCTCATCTGTCTCCAAACTTCTAGGGATTTGCAGCAAGGGGATCCAATTTCCCCTTTGCTGTTTGTTTTAGTTATGGAAGCACTGAACTTGCTATTGGAGAATGGTGCACAATTGGCTAATTTCCTTGTATTCAGTTGGCAGAGGCTACAGATCACGCCTCACCAAGGGCTGTTGTATGAGCTTAAAGCTTTCTATTAAGTTATGAAGTAATAAATTTTTTCTTTATTCATCAAAAAAAAATTGCTATTGGAGAAGGGTGCACAATTGGCGACTGTTTTTTATTGCAAAATTGGACAGTTACCTTTCCTCTATTTGGGCTAAACAATGGGGAGCAAGGTGTCTGTAGCTGAGAGCTGGAGGCCAAYTGTGAATAGGATGGGAAAAAGATTGGAGCGGTGGAAGGCTAAATATCTTTCTTTGGGGGGGCAAGATTACCCTCATTAGAAGTGTTCTCTCGAGTTTGCCAACTTCACTGAAAATTCCAGCTAAGGTGGCTAAGAAAATTGAGAAATTGCTGAGGGATTTTCTATGGGTGGGGGTGCRGGTCCTAAGAAATCTCACCTAGTAAAACAGGAAAAAGTGTGTAGGCCTAAAGAAGTAGGTGGGTTGGGTATTAGGAAGCTAAGGTTGTTTAACAAAGCCTTACTGGGCAAATGGCTATGGAGGTTTGAGTCAGAGGGAAAGGGACTCTCTTTTGAAAAGGGTGGTAGTTGGAAAGTATGGGGTGGTGAGGTTTGGGTGGTAATTGAGAGAGGTTTCAGAGTCTTAAGCGTCTGGAAAGAAATTATGTGCTTCCACCAGAATTTAGAAACTCAGTGAGTTTCAATGTGGGAGATGGGTCCAGGGTAAGATTTTGGGAGGATGATTGGTGTGGGGTAGGGAGATTATGTGAGCTGTGTCCAAGATATACAGGTTGACAGAACATCAAATTCCGGTTAGCAAACTTCATCTGGAACTTCTGCTCATCCCTATTTGGTGCAGTTACTTTCCAGCCAAGGTCTTCAGCTGAGCTGTTTTCTTCTTGGCCAAAGATTAGTGGGAGCAGGAAAGGAAGAATACTCTGGAGTTGTACCCTTTTGTTGTGTTGGGTCATTTGGAACAAGAGGAACAGGAGACTGTTTGAAGACAAATCCAAAAATATCAAGGCGTTGGTGGCCTCAGTAGGACATTTTGTCTCGGATTGGGTTCTGGTGCTCCCTGAGTTTGATCTGATTAGTAGATCAAATATTTTTCTTTTTTGACCAGTACTGATTAGTAGATCAGATTTGGGGGAGAATTTTTGGAATGTACTTGAAATCCAGAATTGTAACAGCCATTAGTATGTTTTTATTGGTTTTTAGTTGTTGTGTTTGTTGAGGTGCCATTTTGTCACGTCCTTTTTGTAATCTTTTTTCCGTTGATAAAATTTTTGTTATTACTATTCAAAAACTGTATGCATTGTATTTTCAGAGAGAGAGGCCTATAGACATGGTTTAAAATGTCCACAAATTTCCTAATATTTCCATGACATATTTCCATGTACCAAACCAAAATTTTACTGGAGATGAACACTATCAGCAAGGGATGCAAACGGATCGGATCGGATCGGATTGGATTCAAATCAGGGTATATTCGAATCCGATCTGACACTGTTCATGTCGGATCCAATCCAATCGGATCTGATAGGACTCTATCTGAATTCAAATCCTATCGGATCTTCGGATCTGATTTTATCCAACTTGTTTTCTTTAAAAATTAATAAATTATTAAAAAAAAAAATAAAATATACCAATTTAAATAAAGAAAAAACAAAAAATACAAGTATTTTTTTAATTATTTTCATCATATATATACATGTTTTTTATAAAAAAAAATAAATAATATAACAAATTTATAAAAATACAATATAAATAATATTTATAAATAAATAAATAACATATATATATGTATTATATATATATATATATTTATAAATATATAGCACATCAGAACGGATCTTCTCGGATCGGATAGGGGTGGATCCAAATCCGATCTGATTTCTGATGGATCCAATCCGATCCGAAGATCCGACCAGGGGTTATCCGAATTTGACCAAATAGGATTGGATCGGATCATGATCCGATCCATTTGCACCCTTACTATCAGCACCATGCTACAAGAGAGTATTATAACTTAAATTTGGTGACATGATTACCACTTTGAGCCAGCTTGATATTCTTTTCAAACATGAAATTAAATAGTAGATTTTGTCTATGTAATAGATTATTTGGTTGATCTATTAGAATCATTTGCATTTTCTCTGAGTCTTGAACTCATTCTCTCCTATAGTCTTGACTCCTTTTTCTTTTGAAAATAAATAAAGAAGAAAATTTATTAAAGAAAACGACAAAGATTACAAAAGGTGACTACTAGGTACCACCCGAAGACCCCATAGTCAAACCAGCCCAACCCAAATCCAAAAAAGTCCTCGAACAAAACAAAACAAAAAACAAAAAACAAAAAAAAAAAACTCAAAACCTCCCACATGCACAACCCAAAACATAACCAAAGACCCAATCTAAGACTTATCTCCCATCTTTCCAAAGCCAATCAAGCAGACAACCCATCAAACCCCTTATCATGTAGTCTTGACTCTTAATGCTTACAAGACAACTTCACAACGTATTATTTTGATTTGCAACAAGATAATGATTTAAAAAAGCTGTGCCTATGCTTCTTTTGCCATTTCATAAAATAGCATTCTATATTTTTGCATTTTTTGAAGAAAGGTAAGGTAAGAATTTTATTAATCAAGGAGTACAAACAGCCCCCAAGGATAAAGACCCTGGCCGGGAAAAAGAGCTACAATACAACAACATTAGACTTCCCACAGGCTCCTAGAATTACCCTTAGCAGCTGAAATCCAGGACACTGACTTTCCAAAGGACAAAGAGATCATATCCCCCACATCCAAAG